GTTTGTCATAAGAGAACTCACACAGGAGAGAAACCATTCTCATGTATTGAATGTGGAAAATGTTTTGTCACCAAAGCAGTGCTTTTCCGTCATATAAGAACTCACACAGGAGAGAAACCATTCTCATGCTCTGAATGTGGAAAATGTTTTGGGTGACATTCAGAACTTGTCAGTCATCAGATAACTCACACAGGAGAGAAACCATTCTCATGTTCTGAATGTGGAAAATGTTTTGGGCGACATTCACAACTTGTCAGTCATCAGAGAACTCACACAGGAGAGAAATCATTCTCATGCTCTGAATGTGGAAAATGTTTTGGGAGACATTCAGAACTTGTCAGTCATCAGAGAACTCACACAGGAGAGAAACCGTTTTCATGTTCTGAATGTGGAAAATGTTTTGGCAATAAAACAAATCTTGTTTGTCATAAGAAAACTCACACAGGAGAGAAGCCATTCTCATGTTCTGAATGTTAAAAAAGTTTTGTCACCAAAACAGTGCTTTTCCGTAATAAGAGAACTCACACAGGAGAGAAACCGTTCTCGTGTTCTGAATGTGGAAAATGTTTTGAGCACCATTCAAAACTTGTCTGTCATCAGAGAACGCACACGTGAGGTGATTTTATAATTCATCTATGGATTAACATAGGAATAAAATATCTTGTATTGTGAACTAATGCTGACACAATAAATAGTAACTTTGATAATAGGACTCAATGTACATATGATGCATTGGTATTGTGGCAACCCCATGCTATGATTCGAAGGGTGCCTAATCTCTGGTTGTGAACTCGCCGGCAACGCAGTATCCAATCCAGGAGATTTTGTGTTCTGGCTGTTATAAAGCAATACACTTCAATGTATATGGTTCCTCGGCATGACTTACATTTGCCTGATTCCAACCAAGACCTCAGCGTAGAGAAAAGACACATGCTTTTTGCTGGCAACTTGTAGGATCACTATTTCTGAGCTCTAGCTTTTATTAAAAAAAACACAACACACACATGAAATGTATTTACAAATTATTCATACCAATAAGAATATGATCTGGGATAGGAGACCAGAGCTCTGACTGAGCAATGTAAATTAGCTAATTATCTCCTGAGGTCCTTTATTCTTATACCAAAACACAATAACTTGGAAATTCCTAGAGAAAGGTTAGTTTCCCCAACCCCCATGTTAATACAGACTTGAAGCAAAGGTTGTGTTTATTTCTAATTCTCTACGTTTTTTTCCCCTTTGGGCATACAATGAACCTGAGACTATATAACTAATAAATATATACCCATTTTATTAAATATTCCAGTCACTCATAATTTGGAGTCCAATTTCAGCCTTCTGAAAAATATTTAATGAGCTTTAAAATATCTGATGTAATATGATTATTATCATTCTTGTATTAGTTGCAAAAAATATAATTCAGAATTCTTTCATACACAGGAAGTAATTAGTGATGTACCGAACGGTTCACCGGCGAACGGTTCCTGGCGAACATAGCATGTTCGCGTTCGCCACGGCGGGCGAACATATGCGCGGTTCGACCCGCCCCCTATTCGTCATCATTGAGTAAACTTTGACCCTGTACCTCACAGTCAGCAGACACATTCCAGCCAATTAGCAGCACACCCTCCCTAGCAGACCCTCCCACCTCCTGGAAGGCATCCATTTTAGATTTATTCTCAAGCTGTATGCTTAGTAAGAGGAGGGAAAGTGTAGCTGCTGTTCATAAGATAGGGAAAAGCATAGCTAGGTTAGGGATAAGGGTATGCTTTTTTTTAATTTATTTTTTCTATGTAATGTAAATGCACTTAGTTGTCTGCCACTGCTGCC